GTTACAAGTCACTATTTGAGACATTTGTGAACAGGTGTGGTATCACCAAGTCTGGTAGATGTTCAAAGTGCACGTACCGTAGTGATGGTGGATCGGCTTGCTGTTGTGTTGTTGCAAAAATTATAGAAGTTTACATAGGAATACGAGTAGAAGTGTAGTCGTGGCGTCCTGATTTTTGGGCGCGCGCTTTTTCGTGTTTGTGATAATCTTGCGCTCTTGTATCACTTTACTTTTTTTCGTGCGTATACCACCAACAACTGATTTTGTTTCCATCCTGCCGAATAGTGGTTGTGGTATTGACCATGGTTTGATCCGTATAGTTTGAGTATTCATACGTCTAGTAGAGCTCGGGAGTAGTGGGGTTCCTAGGAGACGGCTGAGGCTGGGAGTGACTACTTTCGGAAGAGGCGATACCATCGGTCGTCTCCTATGCTCAGGGGGTCCTCATGTAGTTAGTGTTTCTGTGATTGAAGTGCTCGAGGAACTCACTTGGTAGGGCTAAAGCGGCGAATTTCGAATGTGACGTTGGAGTTTCGCATACAAGGCGTGAAAGGGGGGGGCTAAGAAGAGTTCCGAAAGTTGGAGGAAAATCTTCGCTGTGCGAAGATATGTCGGAGAGTACTAAAGTAACCCCTCGGGAGACGTGTGGCCTGACGTCGACTGGGAACACAGTGGGTAAAGCTGAGTACTCTACTGAGGTGAGATGCTTAGATAGGTGGTGGGAGTTCGCGTGGTATGCAGTTTAGTTATGCGGGAGACGGCAGTATTGGAGTAGGAATATATGTTCGCTTTCTTCAGCTGAGCTCAGGAGTTTCCTATACAGTGTTGGAGTAGGAATATATGTAATCGCTTTCCTCAGCTGCTGAGCTCAGGAGTTTCCTATACAGTGTTGGAGTAGGAATATATGTAATCGCTTTCCTCAGCTGCTGAGCTCAGGAGTTTCCTATACAGTGTTGGAGTAGGAGTATATGTTCGCTTTCCTCAGCTGAGCTCGGGAGTTTCCTATACAGTGCTGGAGTAGGAGTATATGTTCGCTTTCCTCAGCTGAGCTCAGGAGTTCTCATACAGTGCTGGAGTAGGAGTATATGTTCGCTTTCCTCAGCTGAGCTCAGGAGTTTCCTATACAGTGCTGGGGTAGGAGTATATGTTCGCTTTCCTCAGCTGAGCTCGGGAGTTTCCTATACAGTGCTGGAGTAGGAGTATATGTTCGCTTTCCTCAGCTGAGCTCAGAAGAGTTTCCTATACAGTGCTGGAGTAGGAGTATATGTTCGCTTTCCTCACCTGAGCTCAGAAGAGTTTCCTATACAGTGTTGGAGTAGGAATATATGTAATCGCTTTCCTCAGCTGAGCTCAGGAGTTTCCTATACAGTGTTGCAGTAGGAATATATGTAATCGCTTTCCTCAGCTGAGCTCAGGAGTTTCCTATACAGTGTTGGAGTAGGAATATATGTAATCGCTTTCCTCAGCTGAGCTCAGGAGTTTCCTATACAGTGTTGGAGTAGGAATAGAGGTTCGTTTTCTTCAGCTGAGCTCAGGAGTTTCCTCCTGAGCTACTACCACATACGAATTCGGGTAGAAGTGTAGAGAAACCAATACGAATTTCTCGAAATTTCCGCGCAATTTCCATATTGTCATCAACACACGTAGTGGTGCTCGACCTCCCACTGACACTTGTCGGTATTAAAATAGTTAGGACATCTCAGCTGAGGAATTCGATCGTTATCTTTCATCGTTATATATGAGGTTATAAGATTGACCACTTTCCTTGTAACGCAAGTAGAGGACTTTTGTGGGCTTGCAGAAAATCTTTTTAGCAAAATCACTGCATCACTATGCATATCGTATATAACGCGCTCGCCCGAACGATATAGGAAATGATAGTGATTAATTAGTACGGGATCTAACAGCTGTAAGATCTCATTATAGTATTGGGGATGGCTATTGGAAACGCTATCTTACTTTGGCGGAGCGAAGCAATTAACGGAGTATCACCCGTTTTACGTGAAGTGGCATAATACTAGGCGAAAAACGCAAAATTAGCAGTAGTCGTGAAATGTATTTTTCACTGGTGTTTTTCACATCACTAGAGTGAAACTCCAACATCATTACTCTTTCCCTTGGGTGGTAACTCACAGCTGATCAGCCGACACGCTCTTAAACCTTCCGTGGCTTTCATAGTATAGTTGGGACGAAAGGTGTTATGGTGTTGCGGGAAGGTCTTCGGACAACCGACTCACCTGCGATAGGTCGTGGGTTCAATTCTATGCGATAGTATTGTTCGGTAAAAGATCCCTTCATAAAGGATACAGTTTTATGCATTCGTATTGATTCGTGTTCGGGGGGAAATCTTGCAATCTTGCAATTTCTCAACGCTCAGTTTTTCATTTGTTCATGCGAATAGCCCTAGTATGCTTCTTCTCTAACGCTATAGTTTTGGTTTTACTTCTGCTGGTGGCCATAGCTACTGCGGGGAAAACTGCACATAAGAAGAGGGATCCGGATGTTGGTAGGAGGTCCCGGGTTCAATTCCCAGCAACTACATCTTATCCGACTCAGATAATATGGAGGAGTCTACTGCATTAACGGTGAATGATGATGACGATGATGATGGGAAGGGCCCGTGGAGTCGGCTGGAAGCTCAATACCATCTCTTCGTGAAGTAGGATAGGATTCGTGCATAGCGGGTCAGATTCGGGTGGAGTACTCTTGTGCAGAGTTGGAGTAGGAATATATGTTCGCTTCCCTGAGCTGAGCTCAGGAGTTTCCTCAGTGGTTATAGAAGTTTACACACGACTTGGGATAGAAATGTACGGAAACCAACAAGAATTTTCCAAAATTTCCTGGGAATTTCCATATTGTTACCAACACATGTAGTTGATAATACGACTATGAACTATCGAACGCTTCTAAAACGAATTTGTCAATCGATTCACATTGTTATCATGCTCTGACTTTCGAACTCTTAAAAATTGAAGTCGTTGAAAATTTTACTTTGTATAACGGTTTGATTTTTACTGTAGGTCTCGGTTCAGATCACCATGTGCATATTTTCTCACACTGCTGTTCTCGTATTAAGTTGTTATTGTTAGTATCTTCTTCCCACTGTACTGAGCCTCCTCGTAGACTTCTCAGTGCGAGCAGCGTAAGTATCCCTCTTTAGATTGCTCGATATTGCTATACCCGTGATGGCTATGGTATTTGGGGTTTGCTTTTTCATTGAGATGAACGTCCTTATCGATGCTAAGGACCATGGATCGATGGCTGATGTGGCGTAGGTTGGGAGAAGAGGAGGATGAACAAATCCTTTTGTGGTGACACCGCATAAATTCGAGTCACCGCATCGATCCACTCGTGTTTGTATGAAGAGGTTGGCTTGGGGTGGGAATTTACATAGTTCTACCTCTCGTCCTTGTGAGAACTCGACGAGTTATAACGTCGGCGATCGTTATGATCGCATGCATCACGCTTGATACTGAAGCAGTTGATATAGAATGTGATCTATTTTGGTGGGGGAGTTATGGTTGTCTACTTACATTCGAGAGGTCCCTGGTTCGAATCTACCTCGGTGTGTTGACATATCCAGTTACGTTCCCGTATCCTCCATTGGGAACATCCTCCTTGCGGAGAAGGCAGCCGAAGCAGCCTGGGTACCACCCAAGACTGTGAGTGTGGAAGTGGATCTTCCGCTCAAACATGTGACTTTCCCCCCACACCTTGTGAGTGCGGTAGTTGTGAAACTGGAGAAGAAAAATCGCTTCGCTCCGCTGTTTAGGTTTCTCGTGAAACCGCAGCAGCGCAAACGCTGATTGTTGCTCCGGGTCATAAGGAGAGAGTTGCGTTGGCCATGCCTACGGTTACGGGTGGCAAGATTCAACTCATTGTCAACCACTCCGCACTAGCAAATGTTATCAAGAACAAGTAATGAAGATGCTGTGTGGAGAAAGCGCGCGCCCATGTGATCGATTTTGGTAGGTATAGCAAGAAGGAGGCTGATATCACTCTGGATCTTGGAACGTTGTTATCGTTGAATACGTCTGGTGCGTTGATTGGGGAAGGCGGAGCGAAGCGAACAGAATGGCCTTTGGGTCGAAAGGTGTTCAAGATGATCTTGGGCGGCTAGTTCTCACTAAGTTGCTGAAACGTATTATTACTGTGATAGTTTGGAGAAGAGTGGTATCATTGGAAAGGCTCTGGTGTTGGGTTACTGGGCTAGGGGGTAGGTTAGGGTGAAGCAGGAACTTATTTGTGTGTGTTTCGAACGTAGTTTTTTGAAGGTCATTTTTTGAGACGGTCAGTGAAAATTTGAGAAAAGTCGTTTGTTACTACTGTAGAGAAGAGGTAAGATTCTGTTTAGATAGAGAATGAAGCGATTAGGAACAGGGTTCTTGTAAAGAGGTCGTTGATCATAGTTGAATTGATAATAATTTCACTGGATCTACATATTATACGTGATATATGAAAACAGAAAGTGCTTTTTGGGGAGATGCTTGTATACGCATGGGGAATTTGCCAAGAAGTTCCCTTGTACGTTTTCCCTCACTTTTCTCGAACGATGGGTTGCGGTGCTTCCTCTGCTGCTACTGGTACTACTGATGAGGCTGTGAAGACCGTCCATGCTGAAGTAGGTCATGTGAATGTTCCTAATGTGATGTTCATGTCTTCAGGAGCCCAAGGCTGCCGAGTGTGCAGCAGGTGAGTGCGTTGAGGAAATGCAAGAGAGCAAGATTGTTGTAGATAAGCCTGCTGGAGATAGTGGTGAAGATAAGAAGCCAGAAGAGAGTGTAAGCAGTGGAATCGGCATTCTAGTGTGCCGAGTGTGATGTTTAGCCGGCCGAAGATGAGGAAGGCCCTAAGGACCCGGCTCCATCTGAAGAGGAAGCTCCGGCTGATACTGTAGGTTCTGGGGAGTTGGACCGGTGGGAATTTTGTATGGGACGTTTTTCCCCGTGAATAATCGTTCATTGATACGAGTGATTGTATGAAGCGAGGAGCACAGTCGTGCATGCTCAGAAGGCGGCGGCTGAGGAGGGCGCCAAGGAGGAAGCTCCTGCGGCCGAGGCGGAGAAGGTGAGGCCTCGTTGAATCTAACATCTGTTACGCGTGGAGTGGTATCAAAAAT